CATGCCTTCATAGAGGGTCTCCATGCTTGACCAAGTGAGTGAGCTTGAGCTTTGCCACCGGATAAAAACATTCTGTAGTTCATTTGTAAGGTGTCTAGCAAGACAGATAGAAGATTTGCCATTGTTGAAGTGGGGAAAACACTGCCCATTAAGAGCATGTAAGAGCATAACGTGCCCAAAAGAGCATAAAGTTATGTGCTGAAGGACAGGATGGACTAGAAAAAAATGGAAAAGTTTGCCACAGAAACAAATTAAAGTGATATAACAAAAGACAGAGACAATATGTCAGTAACACAATAGTTCTGTGGCAATAAAAGAGACAATAAGTTGGCTTCTACTCTGAAAACGGGGATGCTGAGAAATGCTTCAAAGCACTGAATYGGACTGAGGCAATTCTGAGGCTCTGGTGACTGGAGCTTCCCAAAGCAGCTGCCATCTTTACAGCATTTGAGTGGAAATTTGTAGAGATTATTTGCTCTGATTGCTTGTAAACTTATGTAGGCCTTGCAGAGCACCATTTTTCAGCTTGTATTCTGCAGACTTCTGGAATCACTGACATCCTTTTAGCAGCTCCCAAAAAGCAACTGCTGTTGGTAGATTTTAATTTGCCATATGTATTGTTTTTGAGTTTAGAACTTGAAGAAGGTTGGAAACCACAGTATATAGGCCATATGAATATTTGCAAGTGTATATGTGTCCAATAAGATGTTTTGTAGCTTAATAGACACTTTTTTCTTAAGCAATTTTTACTCCTGATAATTAAAATCTGAAAACATATCTATACATTGAGTCAACATAAAAGGTCCTTCTAGAACAGGAGCATAATATAATATAATATAATATAATATAATATAATATAATATAATAAGCAATATTCTGGTTTAAATTATTTCAAAATATTTGTCATGAGTTGGGATGGACTCTCTATGGGGAAGCTTTAAATAAGGTTGGATACTATTGGAACTGCCTGAATCAGTCCATGTATTCTATCAAGTGATAGGATCAGTGTGGTAGTTTTTCACCTAAAAATCAGTCCACTTAAGTGTGGTTTCTTCAAACAAYAATGCATCTCTTGTAGTTGCAAAAAAATACCAAGCAGAGGTTGAAAATGTTTCCACTCTTATTCTGTAAGTAACTCAGAAGTTAGACTGAATGTTAAAATATTGGGATGGCAAAGYCAGCTGAGGCATGAAAACAACGCCTCGAAGAAATTTAAATACAACAGTACACAGTTCAGTATTTTGTAATTACACTCATAGGAACTTTTTAAGTTTTCCTTAGAAACAATCCTTAAAGTTTTGCAAATACCAGCTCCTACTTGATGTTGGAAGCTTTACCCYTAGATACACTTGCTACTGTCAAAACTCCACATCCCTCCGGCCCCCTAAAATGGAAAAGACCATTAAGAATTTGCTTTGGATTCACAGAGCAGATTTTCTGAGGAGCCGAGCCTTTCTGGATATCTTTGCTCGTTAGCCAAGCCAAACAGGAGCTGAGAGGGAACTCAACCATGGCCTATAAATATCTACAGACTACACACTAAGGGAGATGGAAAGCCTCTTATGAATATGCTTATGCTGGAAATTAGAAGGTCTCTTAATCCTCACAGCAGYGATGCTTTGGAACAATCTTTCACTAGGGTAATGAGGAAAACCATTTTAAGATGAGTCTTGATTAGCTGCAAGGATCATCATGTGGTTGTCTGTGACAATAAATGACAGGGCGTGTTGGTCTATCCATGGGTGCCTTTTCAAAACCCAGCCTCGCTTGTCACGGAGGGAACTTGGGGATATTGCGCAGTCTGGAAAATCTGGCTTTCACTTGGTGTCTGCAAGTGAACAGAGGTCATTCATTAGTGCAAACAGRAGCCTGAGCAATTCAAATCTGCTTTTCATGTGGTGTTAGCATGATGCATCTGGAAGAGAAAAGATGGGCTTTTGCTTGATAGCAGGCAAGATGCTATCTTGGCTATCCATGGATGGATTTGAGTAAGATAATTTTATGAAGAAATATCTTCAAAAAGGAAATTCAGTATAAATGATTAATAATTTTTTTTTTTTTGCTACCTCTTCCAAATATCAGATTACAGTATATAGTCTTTACTTTTGTATACCACCTTCTCCCAGGCACATGGATACTGGTAAGCACATGGTAAGTGATGGCAGTACCAAAAATTTCAGAGAACTAGAGCAGCTATGGCATAGTGACATTGCACTGCAGCAGTGGGATGATGCCATCCACTCCAAGGATGCATTAGGGCAAACTCCCATTAGCTTGAGCTTGGATTATACCCTGGAGCACTTAGGATGATGGTGGAAATCAATGTTGATCTCAGGGTGTAGGTTAAGTATGGTTGCAACAAGGTGAAATGGAGTAGAATGGAGCTTTGCTTGACTTTCTCACACTCCAGAACTAACAGAAGTTGGGCAAACAACAGCATTTCAACTTTACAAATATTTTTGTAAAGTTTTGCTTTCCTTCAGCCTTTTTTTTCTCTTTGCCTCTTTTTCAGGGGCTGAGGGGCATGGTTATGATCACAGAGGCTTTTTTCTGTGTCTGTTGAAGAGCTAATACAATTTGGGAGCTAGGCAAGACAGCACCTTCCTAAGGCGACTGTAGTGCACCATTGTCATGAGATGCTTTTGATTAGCTTCTTGAAATACAGGTTTCCTAACAAGCTCCTCTGGTACAGAAATTTGTCTGGCAAAACTAATTGAGGAGAAATAGCCCAATTAGAGAAATGCATTGTAATTTTCTACTTTTAATGGCAAACTCTACTAAGATTCATGTCCTGTAGGAAGAGTTTACAGACTGAGAAAGGGTCCTTGTTATTTTCGGACTGCCGAGGAAAGCACCTCAAACTGATCTGCGTTTGACATCCACGGAATCAAAAGCTCCAGGGAGGAAAGATAAGACTTGTGCAAGGTCTACAAGAAAAGATATGTCCTCCTCCACCTCCTCAGGTAATGACCAGCCTTCAGCATATGTGTATATGTTTGCTAATGTAACTCCACGCATTACCCACAGTATTATTTCACGTAGCAAGAGAGAATAACATCCACACCAACCTACCACAAGTACATGCCCCATTTTGCTCAGCAAAACTTTTAAAAATAACTTCTCTGGTTAATCTAATACGAAAAAACACCCAGCAGGCCACTGCTACAGGGCCTCTCCCTTTTCTTCAATGAATGTTCACAAACAACAGAATAAGCACAGAGCTGACTCACAGACATCAGCTCCGCACATTTGGTTGTCTCTGCTGGCAGTTTCCTCCAGCAGGATTATATTTTCCAGAATCCTGCCTTTCAAATGTCTCCTGCTGGCAGACAGCTTAAACCCCCAGGCCTTCTACTCATGAGTTCGGGAGAGTTTAARCTCAGTACTAAAGCACAGCTCACCTGCAAATTTCCAGTTGASCAATCTTCCAAAGGAGAAGATATGCACATATGGCTACAGGAAAATAAAAGGTAGAGAGGTTGGAGTTGTTCCAGATAAACCATTTCGGGAACTAAAATCTGCGTGTCCCGAACACAAGAAAATTCTCAGCAAGTCAAATTCTGTCCTTTCCAAAGCAAACAGCTGAGTATTCTCAAGGGAGATGAACAGCTAAGCAACACCTAGAGCCATTGCCCAAATGATTTTGCACTTCRAAGAGTGTATTTCCTTCAAATAAGCTATTCCTTTAAAAAGCCGAGAAAGAAAGTTCAGTTGACTTATTTCATAAAGGAACATTTCATCTTTATATTCCTCATTCTTATCAAAGGTCTCTCACAGACGTGTGTTTTAAATTTTATGTATTGGTCCATAAAAACACCCATGCTTCCTGTCACACAGAGTTGCTACAGAGCACATTCCCACAAGACTCACTAAAAGCAACTGATTTGTTTTCCCCATGTGATTTTTCTGTATTGCCTTCAACCTGTTCCCATATCAAAGCAGAAAATTCCTGATTTGTAGGAGCTGATAGCATCACCTTTCCTCCTCTTCCTCTAGAGACCRAGCTGTGCAGAAGTCTCATCTAACGAGTTACTGCTACTGAAAAGCTCAAAACTCGTTCCCAAACCTACAGCCAACCCACTCATTTTGCATGAGCTCTGTCCCCCACCAGGCTTCGATTCATTAAAACCGTGGAAGACTTTACCCTCCCTTCCTTCTCCCTTTTTCTTCCTGAGCATGTTTTCTAAGTTTATTTCCTGTGGTTTATTCAGTTGAATCACTCATAGGGGCTCACCAAGCAGCAGGCAGCACAAAACCAGCAGCTCTGCGGGCAGAAATACAACTTCTGGTTCTCGGCAGCAGGTAATTTGGCTCAGCGCGTCTTCTGAAGCCAGAATGAGCCGTATCGTGTGAATGTGCCTCATCTACAGCCTGAAAACAGGYGGACTCAGCTCCTTCAGAGGGGCCTCAAAACTGACCCAAGCTGACTTTGCACTAAAGCAAAGCAGGAGACTTCTCACCCTCACTGTCACCAGCCTGAGAGAGTCTCCTTCAATGCACCTGGCAAATGCTAAACAGCTTTATGTCTTTCTGCAGTGATCTTTGGACTGAAGCCCGGCGTATGCAAAGCTACCCCTGAAGAATGAAAAATGCAAATGATGATTGCAGGGATTACGTTAATGCCAGGTTGAATGCAAAGAAACCCAAAGACACCACATATAGCAAGGAGGAGTGTTTTCCACAAAGAGCTTTATTTTCATGAATACAGCAGTAAAAAAAAAACAAAGTTTGAAGAAAGGAAAGAAAGTTTTATGTTTATTTTTTAGTAAAAATAATTTTACTAGGAGGAAAGCGATTTACATTCTGAAACACACATTCAAAAATAAAGAGAGAAAGGCAACAGGGCATAACATTCGATGAATACCTAGTACAACATAATAAGATTTTTTTAATTAATAATCAGGAGAATAACACTGCAATATTTATTCTTAAATTTGTATATACAAACGCCTATCATACACAGCAATAAATCAAGACATAAACACCATAAAGACCACATACAATAATTTCCATATTGAACAGAAGTTTTCACCCGTAACAAAGTTTGCAGCTGTAACAGAAAGAACATTTTGAGTGGTAAACAATAAAAACACTAACAAACTACTTCAAAAAGCAGAACAATTAACAATAAATCTTGATGTACAACTACCTCTCTCAAAAATACCCACTCATTTCTTTTGCTCCAAGGCATATCACACAGCCCACAAAAAGTTAATATATCTTTAATTCTTGTACTAAAAAGCAGGCTTTTGCAACTTGGTCCATTTACAGTTTGCCAACTATTTTAGCCTACCACATCAGAAAGAAGAGAGTTGTGTGCCCCTCAGTTTTTGGATACGAAACAGGAAAATTACATTCAGTCCAAAAGCAAGTTTTCTCTAAATATCCACATTCTTTTGTTTTAGCCTATTTAGTTTACTATTTTCATTCATGCAAAAACTGCAAATTAATCCCATTCCAGATGAGCGTTTTACCATAAATTTTAAATGCTCAATTGATTAGACTGCAGAATAATGGAAACAAAAAAGCTTAACCCACATGACAGACTGCTACTGAACTCTATTAAGTTAATCAAAATTACACTAACCTTACACATTGGCCTTTCTAGAAATGTGGGCCTCTCTAGAAATACAAACACAAACAGAAATATTTTCATACTCTGAAGTTACACAGCCGTGTATCAACACCTGAAAGCCCATTACAGACTGAATATTCTCCTTTTCTTGTAGTAACAGGCAAAAAAAGGCTTGCGCAAAGTCCCCAATCTGCACATCAATACGTTCATTTTCAAAAAGAACCAGGATTTTCCAAATTGGTGACTGTTTGTTGAGTCTCCGAAGAACTGTCACCTATTGTATTATGTTAACTTGGCATATATCGTAGTAGAATTACATATAGGATAAATCTAGCAGGTAGAGATTATAGCTCCATCAACATTAGTCAACAGCTTCTATGTCTAGATATGGGGTGCAAGTCAGTGGTGTCATAAAGGCACTTGTCTCTCATAGAAAGTATTATCTCCTCTAAGCAATTACAAATATATCTAAAAATAGTTTTAATTTAGCATCCAAAATTGTTTATACTCCTTACAGTAGTGGAAATCATCATCTACACCACAGTATTTATAAATTCAAAATGAAAGACTTAAATGCAAAATATCCATGACTAAATATATATGGATTTGCTCCTTCATTTTAATGCCATGCTCCCAAAAAAGCCAAAGAACGTGCTGTTGCAGAAATGTTATCGATATTAGCAGCCACAAATAAAACGGGAGACCTACCCAGCAGTATAAGCAAGCTTATTTACTAAGCTACTRAACAATTAAGTCATGAGTTACTAAGAGAGACATCTGCCACAGGTCCTGTGCAAGCCGTGCTTGAAGCCACACCTGACCTTATGAAATATGTAACACACATTTAAGTCATTAGGGACATTTTTATAGCTACCTAATTTTATAAAAATAATTCCGAAATGCTCATTCGTATCAGGGAGACTATTTTTTTCATCAAATGTTAAAAGGTTAGTCAAAAACAGATCTAACAGCGGAGTTTAAAAAGACATCTAATTAGTCACTATAGAAAGTTCAGTGCAGTTTTCGAYGGTTTAAGCCCAAAAAAGTCCTGTTTATGTAATCAGATTTTCCTCTTCAGGTCTCATTTACCTCAAAGCAAGAATTTGAGGGAGGATCCATCAAGACAAGGGAGAAAAAAAAAAGTGGATTTGCAAACAGAAGGGGACAAAACAGACATAACCACAAAACCAGGTATAATAGGCTTTGCTTGTGCAAAAGCTAATGTGAAGTAGGCATTATAGTTCTGCTAAGAAAGCTAAAAACCCAGAAAGCTGTGCTGGATGGAATAAAGTATGATGCAAAAGTCAGCAATTTTTTTTTCTTGCATTTAATACTTTCCCCCTCAACAACACATTAAGAGCACACCAAGACTTCTCTGAACTTGCTGGATGCAGCCTTATGCTTAAACGCTCATTTTCACATCCACTCTTCCTCAAGCAGTTTTGCCAGTCTTGTCCCATAAGGAAGTCCCTGCGTCTTTGCAAGAGCTGCATTCTCTAAACACTGCACCGGATTTTCACAACAAAAAACAGAGAGAAGCTGTCTGATCCGGGATTAAGTTATTCCTTACRAGAATCGCACTTCTTTGCTTGATGGCAATGACCAGAATTGCTGAAGACTGTCCTGACAGTTGCCATGGCAAGTGGGTAAGTGCGTGGGAGAGCAGACATACGGCCAAGCCAAACTCTTATGCAATCGCCACGGTTTAAGCAAACACACACCACCACCTTCAGCCACGTGCTGGCTATCAGCGGGACTATCAGTCTGCAGAAAGTGCCAGAGGCAAAAAGAAAGGTATCTCCTGCTGCTTCAGTACTCCCATTCATCTGTTTTCATGTCCAGATAGTAGAGAATATTCTGTGCAAGCTTTACTGCTTGCTTTCTGGCAGCCTTAACACGCTCATCACCTTGCGGATCAACAGCGTCAAGTGCTAGAAGTTGCTTTGTGAGAAGCTCCTCCAGTCTCATGTAATTTTTATCCGTTCTGTTTCCATCAAATGAAATCACCTCCTGCTGAATTTGAGACAAGTTTCCAAGAATGCTCCAAACTGCTTTATGAGACTGATGTTCAGCAGCTGTTTGCTCACGATATATTTGCCTTTTTCCAAGTGCTTCCTTTAAATCAATATAGGTTATGAGAGTTTGCACTTCTATTACTGCTCTTCTCCTGGCTTCTCTAATACACGGGTTTTTCTCTGGACTGACTTCATCTAACTGGGCAATTAATCCCTGCAGTTCTGCTTTGGATCCCAAATACAAGTCAGAAGCGTTCTCTGTTTTTAAAAGCAGTGAATTAACTTCCTTCATTTTCTTGCGGATTTCTTCTATTTTAAGAATGGACTGATTTTGGGCCAAATCATAAGCATGAGTAGACTTTGCTTCCTCTTCCGAGTCCAGGTACTTCTGTAGCTTATTGATCTCTTCAACTACTTCCTTTCTGTAATTTCTTATTTCCGTGCGACCACAGACATCTAAAGCATCCAAATCAGCGATCAAGCCTGTGAGCACACAGGACAAGTGCCTGCAGGTATCATTACTATTCACTCCCATTAGCAGGGCAATGAGGGTTCCTCTAGCTTTGTTCACATCGCACATCACAGAGTTAATTTTGGAGACAGAGGGATGCGCATCATTAGAGAGTGGCAGCGACAGTTGCTGCTTTACACAGCTTTCTATAATCTCCTGAACGGCACATACTTTGGTCAGAGTGCGATACCTCGCTTTGCGTAAGGAGATTTTCCCCCCAGTTTTCACCTGAGTGAGCCTCAATATGACGTCCTGAATGCCCTCCTCAAACTCCTCGCTTATGAGGTTGCCTCCTTTGTAGAAGGGGGTAATCTCACGCTCCACGAGCATCTGCGCTTCCTTGAAGATAGCCTCTATTTCCAGCCTGCGGGGATGGTTGGCGATTTGCTCCAGCTCCTTGAGCAGCCTCTCCGTTTCCTGCGCCGCGCGCTTCCTGGCTTGCTGAACATCCCCTTTCCCTTCCGTGTCCACAGAGTCGATTTCAAAGAGCTGCTTAGTGAGTCTCCTTTCCAAATTCTTGTAATCCTTGTCGGACGGCAAACCGCTGAAGACGGCAACCTGCTGCTCGATCTCCTTGACCTCCTTCTGTATTTCGTGCAACCGTTTGATGGCGGGGTGTTGGTTACCCATGTCCATGCTCTTCCCGCAGCCGCCTTCGCTGGAGCTGAGGGGCAGGGAGGGGGTTAGTGAAAAGCCGCGGGGCCGTTTCGCGGCGCTGCACGGGCGGTCCCGCTGCCGGCGGGCCGGGCGCCGCGGGGGGACCCCGGCTCGGGCCGCACGGCGGGTGACCCCGCGCTCTGCCGCCAGCTCGCAGCGCCGGCCGCGCCGCTCCAGCCTGTCCCGCCGGGGCCGCCCCGTCCCCGCACAGGCCCCGCAGGACGGCGGCTCCCGCCCCGCTCCTCAGGCGCTGCCGCCCGCGCGCCCCGAACGGGGCGGGGGGGGGGAGCCAGGCGGCGCCCGCGGATCATAAAGGGCCGTTGCTGCCGCCGCGCGGGCCCGGGGAGGCGGCGGGGGCACCGGAGGAGCCTCCCCCTGCTCCCCGCGGCGCCCACCCAGCCCGGCCCGGCCGCCTCACCTGCTCGGCCGCGCGGCCCGCTGCCCGCCGCTGCGCCACGGGCCGGGCGCCGCACGCCCCGCCTCGCCGCGCCGCGCTCCGCTCCGCCCCGCTCCGCTCCGCCAGCCCCGGCGCGGGGCCTCGGCCGCGCCTCCCTCCGCGACGCTGCCGTAAAGCGGCGGGCGGCCATGGCCGCCAGGGCGGCCGCCGGGGCGGCGGGCGGGCGGCGCTGCCTCTGCGCGGCGCGAGGCGGCGGYGGCGGCGCGGCCGCCGAGCGGCCCGAGAAGGGGGTAAAGCCGCGTAGAACCGTGCGGGGAGAAGCCGCGTAAAGCGGCGCGGGGCGGCGGGCGGCTCCCGGGCCGGGCGCGCTGCCCTGGGGCGCGGGCGAGGAGGCAGCGGCGCTCGGGGCTGCAGAGCGGAGCCTCCCGGGCTGCAACGTGAGTGCCGTGAAAGAGCCAAAAAAACAGGTTTTAAAGAGTTATTTARCTCTTAATATGGTTCGCGGCAGATRGGGGAGCTAAAGGTCCCCGCGCTGTATTTTGCGGGGGGTCAATCAGCGCGGAGGGGCCCTGGCCTCGCCGGGGTCCCTCCCGCGGCGCCCGGGGCTCCTGATTCCCCGCTTTGTGCCTTTCCAAGGTCCCGGCTTTCCGCCCGCCCCCGCACTCCCGCAGCGACTGGATCGGCCCCCCCGACCGGCGCTCCAACCTGCGGCCCATCGTGTTCCACGTGCCGCCCGACGAGTCGCGCCGGGAGCGGCGGCTGCGCGAGCTGCGGCAGGACACGCAGGCCTGGAACCAGCGCTTCTGGGCGCAGCAGAACGTGGCCTTCCAGCAGGTGAGCGCCCCGCGAGGCCCGGGCTCCCCGCGAGCCCGTGGCACCGCCGCCCTGCGCCCCAAGGGATGGGCGGCCCGGCTGCGGGGTCACCTTGGGCTGCGCGCCCCGCGGCGCCATCCCGAGCGGCCGCCTGCTCGGAACCACCTCGTCAGCACCTCCAGATTCTGCYGCAGTTCCTTACCGCTCTTACTTGATACCACTTATTTCTCTAGGCTCAGTCATGTTTTTCTTGGAGAAATTCCTTTTGCCCTCAGTTTTATCCTCAGTTTAGGATGACTGGCAAAACTAGAGAGCTTSTGTGTTTTACTGCTGCTTACTGTATGAAAGGCTGTTTACTGTTTCCTTTTCTTGCACTGAAATTATTAAATTGTAACCAGCCATACGTACAGGACTATAATACGTGACTAAGGCTGCTGTTGTAAATGATCCTGCAGCTTTTTTCGTGCTATCATGAGAGCTGTAGGGAATAAAGGAGTATAGGTAAGATCACCAAGGATGAGGGATGTGTCCCGTTGCGCTGACAGTGTAGCCCTAACAAGGCTAAAAGTGGGGACATTATTAGTCTTGGTCTTTCTTTTAACTAGATTGAGCCATTGATAAGGAGACACTGAATTCTGCTGGAATGTTAGTGATAGTACATACACCATCACTCATGATGATCTTTGACCATCATATTGTCCCAAAACTTAGAGAGATCTCGGAGTAAATGAAGTATTTTTTTTATTTTTTTTTTAAGTTGCACAGAGCTGCTTTTTGAATTAATTCACATTTTTACAAATAATTATTCTTTTTTCCATCTTCATAAGCTCACTTTTTAGGGATTGCATGTTTTTCAGTGTACTCAAATTYTAAGATACAGAGTCAGTCGTCATAGAAATTTGTCTTTTGTAAAACTTTGCAAGACTTGGATCCTGCAAAATGATACTGAAGCTTGGCTGTAACTTCTGAAAATAAGTTGCATATGTTTTAGTAGAAGACTTGTATGAAGTAATTGATGCACACAGCTAACATCTAAGCAATAAAATTATTGGTTTAATTACTGGATTCAGGAAGATGTTTTATTGACATCTCCAAGAACGATGAGTACTGTGAGTGTTTTGGATGGTATTAAGCACTAAGCTGGCGTGTCATTAAATGCAATGGTTAACTTCAAGGACTTCAAGGCATTAAGTTCTAATATGGGAAAACATATTTTAGGAAAAAGAAGAATTTATTTACTCAAGACTGAAAGCCAAAGGTCTGAAAGTGAAAGATGAAACAGGTTAGTGACCTCTTTTTCTTTTATATAGTTTAGGATGCATTCTTAATTCTGTTTGCCCTTGATTTCTGCTAGTTTATGCTGCTTGTGTCCTGCTGCAAGTAGTACACAAGCAACAGGACTTGGAAGTGTTTTCATGAGCGTTAGCAAAGGAGCTCTTAAAAGCTGTGCAGGTTGGATTTTCTGCGTAGTTTCTCCCACGCCCTCCACTGGAGGGAATGTGCTGAAATCCTTAGCCATCCTTAGCCAAGTACTTCAGTCATTCTGTAGCTAAGGTTTTTCTGAGGTTGTTTTTTACTTTCACACCACATCACCCCAATAACTTAGCTCAGCTAAACATGCCCTCTTTGCCCCAAGTGCATGTTATGGCTGGGTGGGTATATTCCTGCTCTTCAGCCTCAGGTGCATAATATGTACAACGCATAGAGCGTTTTTTCCTTGAGGGGAAAATAAGACAGCTTTTGAGGAGGCAGCAGCTGCTGTTCTCTCGCCCTCTTTGCCCTAGGATAGCTGCTGTAAAATATTTGCCTCTAATGCATTATGTGAAACTGAAAACAAGATGTCCTCATAATACAGTGAGATGGCCATTGTGGTATGAGCTTGAACATTTTGTTCATAAAGATCTGTTTAATAGAACATATGCTCTGATGTTCAGTATGTCACACACCATTGTGTTTCACTTTTATTTATGATCCCARTGATCAGGTTGTGAAAGTTGAGAAAGCTTTTTAATTTAATTTTGTGTTATGAAGGAAAAGGTTATTTTATGTTGATGTTTTGTTTTTTAAGCTTTTTYTTTCTACCTCCTTAGAAGCAAAAGAAAAAAGAATAAATTTGTACATTCCTTAAAAATGGTGTTTGGTGCATATGTTGGTGTAATTGGTTTTGTTCTACCAAATGGGTCTAGTGATGGGTGATACTGGGACAAAATTAATGCTATCCASTGTCTACTGGTTTTGAAATTTTCACTGAAATCACAAGACATTGATAGGTATGTGCGTTTAACTCTTAGTAGTAACCTATATGTATGTACAGTTGGAACAATAGTGATGATATATACTTGAAGACTGCTCTGCTCATAACAGAGAGGCATAATTACTGTAAAGCTGTTAAGCAGGCAGCCTTCAAATAGTCTTATGAGTTTATCTCACAGAAAGCTAATCCATTGTAATGTTTTMGTTTTGGAAATATTCATGTATTCCTGATCAATAATTTACATTTTGATGATAAATCTCAGGAGCTTTAAAGTGAATTTTGGAACTCCACCAAGTTGAATCTCTCAGTTTTTGTCTCTCTTACCCTGTCCCTGTCCCCTGGGACATTCAGATTTGATTCTAATTTTGGAAATACCAAAAGTGCCTGAAAGTTCATATAGGAATTATTTGGCAGAGATCAAGGTATCATCTGGTTCTCTGGCTCCTGCTTCTATGCTATAGCTGCAGATCTTCCATCACCGTCTGTAGAGAGAATCCATTTTCTCTTATATTCTGCTGTAAATATGAGTGCATATATATATATCTTTTATATACTTTTATTTTATTTTAATATATATTATTCAAGTATATATTTTCAGGACCTCTCTTCAACTTCTCCTTCTACAGGAGAGTTGTCTTCCCCGTTGTTAATAAATCAGATGACTTAGAGCATATACCCTCTGATACAAATACTCTTGGAGCGTATATATATACCCTCTGATAGAAATACCCTCTGAATTTAACAAAAGCAATAGGAAGAATTGTGCTGCCCTGTCTCGGACTTGGGAGTGTTTTGATGGTGGTGTTCTTGGTGTTCCTTATGCATTTATTGACTTCTGTGGGAGGGAGTTCAAGTTAGTGGGAGTGCTCTCCTGGGGCTGCTTAGACTTCATCCCTCTGAGAGAGAAATTTTATTTAGAGTGTAGATACCACTACATTATTTCCCTTTGTTAGGGGATCACTAGCTCGCTAAATAATTGAAGACCTGATAACATTGGCACCTTCAGAAGCAAAAAATGCCTTAAGGGTTGTCATGCCARTTTCAATATGGTCAAAAATTTTAATCTGCTGTCTTCCGTAGATAGATTTTTWAAAAAGTGAGATAGAAAATTACTAGCTTCTTCGGGGTTACAGAAGAAGTCTGCAGGAACAAGGAACCAGACCTAGCTTTCCTGCCTCTGAATGCAGTGTTTTAATCACAAGACTTATCTTGACAAAGTAATGCTAAAAATTATTTACAGGTCAAAGAACAACRCTGAATGCAGAAGAAATGGCTGACTTCTACAAGGATTTCTTAAGTAAAAACTTTAGAAAGCATATGCGTTATAACAGGTAGGTAGATGATTTTCTTGCTGAAGTGAATGGCATAAGATCAAACAGAAAAAAAATGAATTGTTGTTGCCCTAATTGTTAAAATAGCATCTAAAGCTATCATTTTAGAATTTGTAGAAAGATTTGGGGAAAAAAAAAAGATGCTATTAGCCCTTGACAAACTTAGGCAGTATGATTTGGGTTCTTCTACTATCTGTGTTTGAGGAAAGGCAGAACTGATGTTCTTCTTTCCAGAGACTTTAATGAGACATAGTCAGGCACAGTTATTTATTTTATGGCACAGGCCTTTTTGTATTGTTAAATGAAACTGATTAATATATCAGTAAAACAACTGAGATTTCAAAAAGACTGAGATTCTACGTTACATCAACTGATGGCTGAGAAAGCAAATAGTTCCATCTCAGAACTGTCCATCAGAGGCCATCGTGGTGCAGGTGGTTGGGCTAGATATCTCTGGAGGTCCCTTCCACCCTCAGTCATTTTGTGGTTCTGTGAACTCGGGCTGATGTCCTGTCTTGATATGATTCAGCTAAGAGAGTTGGGGCTGTATTGCTTGTTCCTGATGAATGGTTCCTGATGAATGGCAGGCCAGACGAATGGTCTGTCTGTCCATTCATCCTCCCCCTACCCAGTTGCTGCCTTGTTCATAAAATTGGGTAGTGCCAGTTGCATCATTGCAGTTAAAAAGTGTAGGAGCACAGCCTTGAAAACAGAAGAGCTTGTTGTACGCAGAGATATTGTAGCCAGAAGGCTTTTGAGGAGTCATATATCCCAAAAAAAGAGTTTATGCRTTTAGCTTATATGTTCTTCCCCAGTGTTGTCAACTGGCCTGAAAACGGGCTATGGAAGTGTAATTTCCAAAGTGTAGTTAAATTGAGGCATTGACTCTTTAAAGACTCCGTGAGTGCATGTTCTAGAGAATTTGGACTGGAAACACTGTCTGGCTAGAAAATGAGAATAAAAATTAAAGAAGGAAAAAAAAAAATGAGACGAGAAATGGGAAAGAACAGTGGCAATGTCAGCACGGTATTTTGATTTAACATGACTTTTTGGCGGGTAGCTCTGTGCTGCTTGTCAACATGATTCTGGATCCTGYCCTTATGGGAGGCTTGTGCCTTGGGTTATATTAGCTCTACACATGAAAGGTTYCCCATTGACCTAATTCCCTGTCTAGCATTCCCTGCTAGTTCCACAAAAAGCATATTCTGTTGCTTCTTGTACAGCATTTTACAAAATGGATGGGGGGCTTATTGGAAACTAGAAGGACATGACTGAAACAAGCCCTCAGAGGTAAAAGACTGATATAGATTCGTACCTATATCTTGATTTGATTCCAAAAATCATGTATGCTTCATTATAACAATTTAAAGATAGGAAGACTCTAACTTTAGAAATATTAAGAACACCATTTTTAAAACAGACTGAAATAGAAAACATATGTTTGCCATATGGTTTCAGGTTATATAAGTTAGTCTTTGAAGTGTGATTATATTTTCTCCACTTAATGGATAGCAACCGTATCCTTTCTGACACATACATCTTCATATATACACAGTTAATCTTACCATGACACAGCACTGTATTACCAGCATGGCTTTGCAACCACCTTTATTTCTGAAATACCTGATTTGGTTATGGTGATTTTAGCTTACCTAAATTCAAATATAATTTATCATAATATTACTCCTTTTTAAATTTTTTRCAGTTGAGCTCTGAATGGTTGTAGCCTTACAGTCTGCACATCATCTGTTTGCAGACATGGATATTTTGCTTTACATGACTAATCCACTGATTCTGTCTAGCCGGCTACATAATAGAAAAAAAAATAGTCATTTCCATGGGTTATTTAGTACTAATTAGGCAGGAAAAATGTTGCCATAGAGAATGGAGAAAAAAATAGTGTCRTCATTGAATTGTCATTTCTCAATGCCAATGGATATTTTGATATAATCATGTGCCTTTCTCCTGTTCTTGTTTTGTGCATTTGTTATTTTCCTGTCTTTCGAATACTAGAGATTGGTATAAACGTAATTTTGCTATCACATTCCTCATGGGACAAGTAGCCCTGGAGAGAGCTCTGAGGTGGCTTCGCTGGAAAAAGAAAAATCTTGGAAATTAGTCATCACAGCTCCGTGAAGAATATGGTACTGTAACTAGGTCTGCTCATTTGTTACCTATAGTGATGTTCAGAACCTGAATGTCTAATGCAATAACTACCTTGATCTGTTAGACTATGTAAATGAAAATTGACACTGTTCTTAACTTATAACCACTATTTATATTACCTTTTTTTATTCTGAAAATATCTTTTTTCGATACAAAAAATGCACTTTTTTTAAAAAAAAGTGACAACTGTACAAGAATATAAAAGGTGTTCTGCAACAGTAGCTATCCTCACTAATACAATGTGATCATGTAAATACGTTAGTGCTGAAGGACTAAGTATGATTTGTGAATCTGCATAGACTCTACGTGATTTTGCATTGTTCATCTTTCAGTGTGATTAAATCCCATTGCTAAGGAATACTTGAGAAATGGTTTCATGTAAATGACTACGGCAGTAGAATCTTCTTAAATAATTTTGTTTTCTTTGGAAGAAATTGATGCCCCTTGGACAAGAGTTCCTCAAACCTCTTTGGTAAAGATATTTAGCTGGAGAGCAGTAAAGTAGGTGCACTTAAAATCTTGATGGAAGAGGAAACTGATACTTGGCTGTATATTTGTACTAATAAGCAGTGATTTCTACTGTTTCACCAGTTTTTTTTAAAGCACTCAAGCAAGTTGTGTGAGGAAGATTTTCTAGCCTTGAAGGAGGCAACCGCTATCACTTAGATAAATATTGATTTTAAGCRAAATCTTACTACAGCCTTGTATCTGTCCTTTTAAAAGTTCCATTTTATGCGATTAAATACATTGGTCTTTTGATACAGTGCCTATTAAGCTCGTTCTGTTTAAAAAAACACAAGAATGATGCATGTTTTCAAACAAAGCATCTTGCCCTGAAGTCATTTTGTAGGGAAGGTTCTGATTTTGGAAATGTCAGGTCAGTGGCAATTGACCTGTTTCATATCTAAGCATGACATGATTTATTTTTAGTCTTTTTCAGTTGGAGTAAAGAAAGAGGTTTGTAATAATGAATTGTAACAATTCCTTTGCAAAATAAAATAAACTTTAATTTTATAATAATGGATTACATTGATGGATATCATTGATACAATGATGATTTTGTTGATCACTGAATAAAAACATTCATAATATGTTTTCTGAGATAACATTCAAAAATAGTATTTTCTTAGAAATACTGGTTATCTACTGTATCAATATTGTAAAATAAGTGGGTATATATTTTTAAGTTTTCAAATGCTATAGTTACTTGGGAAAAGTAAATTATTGAAATAACTATTGTGGGTGTGTGATGTGATTCTCCAGGACTTTACTTTATATCATATCTTACAGGACCTAAGCTTTTACCAGTGTGGGTACATGCTTTATTAAATAATCTCAGTGTTAAACTTTAAAAAATGATTGGATARAATACAAAAATAGCTTTAACAAGTTGATGAGAACCACAGTGAACTGAGTGATACTTGCACCTTTTGACAGCCTATATGCAAGGTCCCTWAGGTATGGTTTCATGTATGCTTTAAGTAGAGACCAATTAGAAAAAGCAGTTTCATCTTTTCTGAGCTGTCCACTTGTATTAACACAGAYATTTCTGTGTTGCCAGCTGAATCAGATCCAGAAAAGTAGCCATTACTAGAACTAATCCAAGGAAAGGAATGGTRGAATGCAGTAGGATCGATGTGCTTCATCGTGCAGGTGGTTGAGCACTGCTGGTGGTGTGAGGCAAGACACAGGAATGTGGGTTTGAGATGAGGATTGCACTTCACTCAACYCACCATGGCTGTGAAATTACTTCAAATCCCTGTTCAAATCTTCCCCTGCATCTGGGCCTCATGCTGATTGTGGAAATGCAAATAGGAGCATTTKAGCAACAAAATGACAGCTGTAAAATCCTCTTGGCAGTTGGAAAGAAATTTTGAGTCTCATTACTAAAACTACATGCACTTACTAAGGCGGTTATATTTTCTGAACAGCCAAAGGCCCCATCATTTTTGCTGGCGCTGCATGTAGTCGCATTAATTTTAATTAATTTTGGTGTTCTTTTCTTGACTCAGAGCATCTGTAGTAATGCCAGGTGCTTTTAGTTATTATTGATCACGAGTCTTTTATGCATCAAAGCAAGAATTAGGAGCTCCCTCAGACTACTGAAAATAATTTTTTTATGTATACAAAGGTTGGCTACAGTGATGGAAATGACTAAAATAGATGAAAGAGCAACTTCTCTGTGCCATTTTCTGAGTATAGGAAAAATGCTTATCATTTAGGTATTTAGCTAATCCTGTCAGAAGGAACAAGCACTATTTCGTATTTAGTAGTGTCAGCATATGCCTTTTTAATCCATCTCCTCTCTAAGAGCATAATAAAGCAACAGAATCSTGATATTATTCAAATAACTTCAGATGGTTTGAATTAGCATGAGAAATGCTAATGTGCTTAGAATATATATATATATTTGCTGTTCATTGAACTTCTGCACTGAAACACTAATTTTAACAGAGAAGAAGGAAGTGTCAAATGGGAGTTGAAAGGCAGACTAACTAAAGGTTGGTTTGAAGTCATTGTAGCACCAGTATGTGGGATTAATAGAGAAGAATCTGCACCACTCAATTTGAAATAAAATGCATTTTTCAATTTTATTAGGAGTTTTGAAAGTGGTGGTAGTAACTACTGAGGATTTCTTCTTCAGTTAAACCTTCTATGTTTAAATGAAAATAAGAAAACAGTTCCAAAGTCAGATTTGTCATTTAGAAACCTAAAGCTTTTGGGTCCTTTTGGTCCCTTTTTGGTTTTAAGGGGACCGTTGCCTGATTCCTGTTTTCAGCCTCCACTCGCTCTAAACAATGATGTTGTCTAAGCAGGTATAACCATACAGGGCAATCAGATTTAGTGTAAAAAAAAAAAATTAATTTACATTCTGAACAGGACCCAGTGGCCCTTTTTTTGCATAAAGACTGGGACATTGAAATGCTTGCAGGAAGGAATAATATGTGCCTGGAAGTGTAATATGTATTAATACCATTTTCATATTAAAATTGATATCCATTGATTGCTGTAATCAGAACAATAATCCACTCAATGAATATTCAGCTTCATTCCTCAAAAAGAATAAGAGAAATGTTTTCCTTCATTAGTTTTATTAAAGACAGTTTTTAGTATATGAAATGTAATGATGTTAAAAAGCACAGTTATTAATATTCATTATTGTATAAATCACTTTTGTGCCTTAACTTTACATTCATTAATGGGCTGCAACATTCACCCATGCATTGTGAGACTTAGCTGATTAATTSTCTCAAGTAGCAGGTGCTGTGGAAGAGCAAAAGCAGTACTGCTGGTAGAAATACTAAGGGTTAACATTCCCATGGTTCCTTTTTAGGTGATACTCTATTCAAGAGAAGTAGTATTTTGTACTCTTACCCGGGATCCAAAGCAAATGGAGAGGTGCAGAAGGTAAATTAATGTAAATGCTCCATAGGATGTGGTTCCTGTTCCRGAAAGCTTATTTTGTCTTACTTACAAAGTAAGTCTTACAAAGCAGATGCTCGTGGAGTCAAGTCACTTACTTTTTGAAGGGAAAGATGCAATATCTTGTTTTCTGGTGTACGCAGGTTCTTGCTGCTAGAACAAGGTGTGCTTAGGCTGGGGCTGGGACGGGCAGCGTTTGCAAGGAGACTGAATGCATCATTTGATGCTGAGGCTGCCAGGGGCCATTAGCGCTCAGCATAAACCAGAGCAGCCCTGAGGCTGCTTAGATGGACCAGGACTGGCAGGATTTGCAGGCAGCCCCCTTGGCAGCGAGGACCTGCTGCCTGGCAGCAGCGCMCGCTCACGGCACCGCCTCCGAAACCCGCCGGGGCAGCGCGCTGCGGAGCTGGCTGCGTGTGCGAGCCCGCGCGCGGGAGCTTCCCAGTCGGGAGAAACTCCCATCGCTCTTCCTACCTCAGTGGAAAGAGCTGCCTGGTGATGGCTTCCAGCTTTGCCTCTGTAATAAAGCCCTGCCCTGCAATGTCGTTCACATGAAGATCAATGTGGGACACGCACTGGCTGTTTCTGAAGGGTTTCTTGAAAGTCACGGATTTTCATCCTAGAAGGATTTGAATAATTAGAAGTCTAGATTCTTCCTTTTGCTTCTTATGTTTTGCAAAACAGATTTTGTAGGCAAGTCTGTGTTGGAAGGAAAATCCATGAAGTGAATTGCAGATTTCAAGAGATTAATCTACTCCCTTGATTGCTTTCCAACTGTTTTATCATTATTCYGGTGTGTTAACATAGATGATGTGTCACTGCATAAATATTCTGCAACAAACCATGTCAAAAGAGTTCTGACTTCAATGGCTGTAGACACTATAAATATTTAAGTAGAAAAAAAAAAGCTTCCAGAATGGAAGGAGGACTGAAAAAGAAAATGGAAAGTAAGTTCTAATTAATATAGAATGCATTCATTGGAAGAAAATACGTTTGAATGTCTCTTACACTTAGCAAAATAATATTTCATTCCTCATATCACAGAACACCTCCATTTTCCTCACGCCTTATAAAAATTTCCACTAGGAAAAAAAAAAAGTGCAAAATACTAAGCTGACTATGAGATGAGTAAACAGCCACAGGTGCCAATTTGTGTCAAATGAGACAGCGACTCACTTCAAAGAGAAAACAGCTCTGCCAGAGGACATTGTAGAGCTGTTTTAACTGACAAGAGATAATTCAGAATTAATTCCTTTGCTGTGCTCCTCTGGTGCTTCTTCCTTGGTCTTTTTTTTTTTCTACATTGGGAAAAAGGGGCATGTTTGGCACGGCACCAGGAGCTGAGCACTCCTAACAGTTACCACAGTGTCGCAGCCCTGAGTTGAATTGAACTAGTTGGTGGTCCCAGGATGGGGTRAAACAGGCTGATTGCCAGAGAATTTGGCTAAGAGTAGCCACTSAACAAAGCATATGGGAAAACCTTCTTTCCTAGGAAGATTTTCCTAAGGTTTTTGAAGCATAGAAGGTTCACATAGTCTTTCTAAAAGCGGCAAAGCGGCTTATTATTTACTGTCTTGAGTCTGTAATCTTACAGGTATAATTTAATGGCCACTTCCAACCCAATATTCAATGTAACATGTAATTAATACTGTCATTTCAACTTTTAGTTCTATTATACATCTGAACAGAAATTAGAAAAGCAGTCTCACTTATTTACAGCGTGAACTTTGTTAGTAGCAACAACAACAACCCAATACAGCTCACAATCAGACAATCAGTTTGGAAGGGCAAGTCAAATTAATGGCAATGCCTGTGGTGAAGCAGCACCCAAGTTGTCTTTGGTTACAGAACAAGTGGGATGGGAAATGACAAATGTGTGAACTTTTCTCCTGTATCGATGCATTGCAGTAAGAATCACAGCCACATTCTTGTAGTTATGCAGTAATTAAAAGAATGTAGGGGCTGATAATTTGCTCCCCCCAACGGGCAGGTTTCTGGTCAGCACCGTGTGTTGATGAACGAGGGTACTGTTGTTCATCAGCCTGGTCTGTGAGTCACGAGAGCTTTCAGGTACACGTTCATGGTGCACTTTGTGGCCCTTGAGCATATAATAAGAAGTGTAACACTGCATAGGCAGGCCCTTTCACTTTCAGGGCTATTTTATAGATCTCATTTGCTGCCAGCTTTCTCCTAAGGTTTATTGAGTTTCAGTTTCCTGTTAAAGTCACATTAGTTTCAATACCAAGGTATTGATATTTCAGCTTTTATTAAAATCTAATTAGCATTTTAAATATTAAGACATTATTTTATGCTAGAGTGTACAGAAAATTCAAAAACTAATTAAAAATATTTGTTCTCAAATAACTGAAGAACAGAACAGAGGAAGTGAAGAACGTCTACAAAACTCATCCGGATAGGGCAACAAATCCAGGCGAGAGCT